ATTGCTTTTTTTATTCTCAACAAAGTTCCTGTTAGTTGTCAAGTGAAATAGGGCAATCTTGAGAGCATACATTCATTTATAACGCATGAGAGCCGAAGACTTTATGGTAGATAAATGAACTTATCTAACTTTTCTTCCCCGCTACAAGCACATCTCAGACTAGTGTCATGGTAATTTCATTGTGGAAGATTAGATCACCTCCAATTTTCAGCCTCTAATATAGGCTAATCATAAGATCTCAGTAGGTGACCAATGAAAACAAATCATATACTCTAATGTTATTCATGTAATAAAATTCTATTACTTCTCATAAAAAATATTGATTAGGCCCGGAGGTATATAGAAATTGGCACATGAGTGACAAAAATGCAGAGGGTTACTTTATATGCTTCCTAATTCTGAACATCATTTCTGCCAAATTATCTATTGATAATGTTTATATTTACCTGGACTTTGCACTATAGTAACTAGGAATAGAATTACTAAGAGTGAAAATTAGTTTAAGGTTATTTAGATCATTCTTTAAGATGATGTAAAATGTTTAGAAACATCCTCCACTGTAATATTACATTGATTTTTTAACAATAAATTGTTTTTAGTAATACCATTTCAAGTGGGCTTTTTTATTATTTTTATTTGACTAAAGCAAACTTGAAGTAAATTGTTTGCCAAGTGACTACTCTTTGCGCCAACGTCCCAATAGACCACATGTCTGGCATCAAAGATCTAAAAATGTGCTATGAAAACTCACAGGATTTTGAACTCATTTTCTGCCAGAAATTAGCACTTCTGTTGCACTTCTACTAGTCATTGACTTTCTTAACCCCATAAGCACTCATTTCCATCGTCTGTATGGCCTTTTGGAGGATCTCTAAGGTTGGTCTCATATTTTTAACAATTTGCTCCAACTGCTCTGCGGCTGACTCAATGGTATTCCTAGCATTCGCCATTCTTAGTGCATTCTGCAACTTTTTCACAGTGTCTACTGTAGTGGTTGTGGATGGACCTGCACTTGGGCTTTGCTCAGATGTGGTAGCATCTGATTGCCCTTTGGTGTCTTGTCTATAGAAGTCACTTAATTGAAGACTCATGATGGGATGCATCAGCAAGAGTGAAAGAGCAGATTCCAAACTCGCAACGATGTTACCACTACTTACCAGAGAGACAATGAATGGTATATTGACTGGTGCTACCTTTGGTCTATATGACGGCTGCAACTCTTTTGCATCATCTGTACTCTTCTCAGTGCCCATCACTGTTGCAATCTTGGAAAATAAAGGATGCTTTTGCACGTTGTCATCCTTGGCCTTCACTACAGATTGCATCTCCCTAAAAATTCTGACCATTTGTTCAAAGACTTCCTTAACGTAACTATCTTCTTTCACAGCCATTGTGATGATCTTAGAATTCATACAGCTATTAAACAATTCGGTGAGTGTGTTTGTGAAGGAAGCAAAATCTTGAATGTAAAGAAAGAATGTTTTGGCAGCTTGAACCAGCCTCTCTTTATCCTTTTCTGTCTTTGAAGACATTTCTCCAACAAAAATGTTTCAGCACTGCAAAACAAAGCAGGAATCCAAATTAAAACTAAAAGAATATTTGTTAGCCATAAAAAAAGACACAAAGTATTATCTAAATATGATGATGACTCCCATCAAGGCTTGGAAAGCTACACAAGCTTTAAAGCAGAAATGATCCTCTGCTTTAATAAAAATAATACCGAAACTATTAAACCCGAGTAAAAGTGTTCTATTGGATTTAAACCACATATCAAATATTGTGTGCTGGATCCTGAACTGGATGTGTTGATATATAGTGACACTATTCTCAGGTATTACCCTCAATAAGCATTCAATCTAGTGGAAAAGATTGAATAAAGTATTACAAATTATACAGAGAGGCTATGGTTCTAGTTAAGATAGAGCAAGTGCCTTCCATAACAACCTTTCCTACTGATTACAACTAAAAATTTCAAACTATATAAAGTAACAATCAGATAATTCTGAAAGATGGATAACAGCAGACCACAGAGGTAGAGAATGCAGCATTTCAAAGAAGAGCAAGGCCATTTAATGCAAAATCCCAAAATGTCTGTCCTGTTTAAAAATGTTTCAGTACTTTGATTACAAACTTCTCTTTTGCTATAGAGAGCAGTGTTAATGTCGCTAACCATTGTTCATCATCCTATTATTTTTTTTTGTATCTCCTCTAGAATTTTGTTATATCAATCATCTTCTCTTTCTTTTATGCTGTGGACTAAATAGTACCCAAAAAATTCATATGCTAAAGCCTTATCCCCCAGTATGACTATATCTGGAGATAGGGCATATAAAGCAGTAAGATTAAATGAGGTCATAAGGGCACAGTTCTGATATGATAGGATTAGTGTTCTTGTAAAAGGAAACACCAAAGAGCTCACTCGCTCTCTCAGTCATGTAAGAGTGCAATGAGGTGACTACCTGCAAATCAGGAAGAGAGCCCCCACCAAAAACTGACTGGGCTGACACTTAATGTTAGGTTTCCCAGCCTTCAGAACTGTGAGAAAATAAATTTCTGTTTTTTAAGCCACCCAACCCATGGTATTTTGTTATGGCAGCCAACTGGAATCTTCCACCTTCTCACTCTTTATTTTTCCTTCTCCTTTACATACATATTCAGTTTCCTCCTCAATTAAAAAAAATTGACCCTGACTTCAAGTAACGATGCCATCTCACTCCTTCATTTCTCAAATTTCTCACAAGAGACATTGTAATTTATTCTGTCCCCCATTGTTTTCCTATAAGGCACCAATTACTTCTATCACATCTGTTAGCCTATTTCCAGACCCTTGCCATTTTGAGTTCTTGGCATTATTTAAAATTGCTAATTACCTCTTCCTACATCAAAGTTTTCTCTTCCTGGGCCTCCATGATGTATAACTCTGGTCATTCTATGTCCTAAGCCTTTATTTTTCCCCCCACAGGCTTGTCTTCCTCCTTACACCACCAATAGCTCTCCAGTCCCCTAAGCTCAGCAAGACTGTGTCTTTGATCCTCATAATATTCTACACTTTCTCTCTTGGAGATCTCAACTGTCCCCATAGCTTACAAATGCCATCTGTATAGAGATGACTCCTAAATCTCATAGTGTAGCCTCAGCAGTTCTCCTGATCTCCAGGTCTTCATTTTCAGCTACCTAGTGGTCATCTCTATAGGTGACTATGCCAGTATACTCCACACCATGTATCTAAAAACTGCACTTGTCTCCTCAAAAAACAAATACTTTTTCCCCCTCTTAATCTATGCTTTATTTTCACTTTATTTTCCATATCAAATCTGTCCCTAAGATTTTTTCATTCTCACTGAACTTATTCTACCTATCCCCTCCCTGACAGTCCCATAACTACTACTCCAGTTACCTCTCATCTCGAGAGATAACTTGAAAGTGTCACATTTGGTCTCAATACCTTTAGTGCAGGTGCTACAAATGCAGTTCATAGGTAAAATCCAACCGGTGTTTTATTAGACCACCACAATGTATCTTCAAACTTCATATCAGTTGCCAAATTTAAAAACTGAAAGACAGAAATTTTTATTTCTACTGATTATTTTGAAAATGAGATGAACTGACAGCATTAAGCCCAGGATCTGAGTTGGAAAAATTACCCAGAGTGGTAGTTGTCCTCTTTAGACTAGACATTCACCCTCTACACCCTTTTGTCTTACACTAAGTGTTTCAAGTACTTACATATCTTGTCCAGCCACTGTATGCATTGGAGTTGCTGACCAATGTTTACTGCTCATACCAACTAATTCAGTTCATATAAAGTGACTTTTCTGAAATCTAAACCACCTAATGTAATCTCACAATTAAAAACCTTTAATGGTTCAGTATTGCCTAGAGAATAAAATAAATCTACTCGCCTTCCCTTCACAGCTTTCATATATACCTTGTACCACCAGCATAGTCGATTTTTCCCCCTGAAAATGCTCGACAGTTTTTTGTGCATCTCCTTAGTATACCCTGTACCCATCTCCATACCCCAGCTCCTACACACCTGTGGAAATCCTGCTTATCCTTCCATACCTAGTTCAGACTCAATGACTACATCTGCTTTTTGCTTTTTCCACCATGCCCCTACCTGGTGGGGCCCTAGGATACATCCAAATTGACCCATTGGAATAAAAATAAAATAATATCCCACTTAGTCCTTCCTTAGGACTATAATAGGCAGCACCCTTAGATTTTATGTCTCCTAGCTAGCATCTTGGTTCTTTTCCCTCCAACCACCCAATAACAGAAATTATTGTTGTTAATATAAGAAGAGCTTCCATTTAGTAAGCTTTTGCCATAGAGCAGACACTATGCCAAGTGCTTCACATACATTATCTAAAACATTATCTCATTCAATCCTTGTAACAATCCATAAATTATGTACTCATACTCACATTACACCATTGAAAATATTTAGAGAGAGTGACTTTCCCAAGGATACTTGGTTAGTAAGTGGCACTTTGGATACACAAAATCAGGACTTTTTCAAAAGCCTGCAGTCTCTCCACAAAATTACACTGGGCTGAGTGATTCTCCTGCTTCGGGAGAAATAAATGGGGGATCCAGAAGAAGATGGAAGACTCTGATCTAAACTTTAAGCTAAAAGAGTCAAGTTGGTCTTTAAGGTTTTTATATTGTTAAGACATTCACCAAGATAACAAGAAAGATAGTGATAAACATCAGAGGAATTAATAGCACACCAAAAAATTCATATTTGGCTGGAAATATATTTGAATTTACACCTCTTAGGAACCTAAACAAAGCAGTCAGCAACAGATGGAGGTACAAATGCAACAGAATTAAAGGAAACATAATACCTAGACTAGTTGACAAGATGAAATCCCAAAATCTGAGCGCTGCAATCAAAGAGCCATCTACTCTACTGAATTGAATTAGTTCAGTTATATAGCCCTTTTCAAGAATAAAAAGTCCATTAAAGAACATAAAACTAAATAAGTTTTACCATGTTATTAGTCTTTCAAATTATAATTACTTGATATATACTACTTTTATATTAATATAAGAAATAGAAGAATTCTGGGAACTAAGTCATGTAAAAATAGTCCATAAACCAGACAGGCAGAGGGACCCAGCAGAGACGAGCAAAGCCTGCAAGTCATCACATTCCATCAGAAACATCCAGTTGAAACCAAATGAAACAGCACTTCAACAACACTACTAAACAACTGCTGCGACTACTGAACTCAGAAACACGGCAAGGTAAGCAATCTGAGTGTTTCTAATATTGTTCCTCAATATTATAGGCAATTTGAAATAACATGTCAGTCCTAAATCCTAGCCATCAATATAATAAAGTAACAAAACAACTTTGTTTTCGGAGGATATCATGGCATGTTCCTTGTGATTATTTATCTCTCTGAAAATACTAGAGAAAGAATAAAATTTATAGCTTATATAACTGATTGTCAGAGAAGACAAAGTGGTAAATAAATCCATTTTAGAAAGGATTAAGGATGAAATGACACCTGTGTCACTGTGTGTTCACATGAATTGTTAAATGTCCTTTTATGTCACTAATCACATCAATATTAATTTCTCTCTTTAAATTTCTATACTATTTGACAGTCAGTGTACTACTCTTATTCACAAAAGTGTCCTCAAGAATTTTTATTTGAATATGTGATAACCAATAGATTTTCATTTTGTAAGGTAGTTCCTTTCCTGAAAAAACTAAAACAATTGCATAATATCACTAAATAAACTCTAACTTTTAGAAACAATCATCGAAATATTTCTACCACTTCTTATATGCTTTTGAATGTTTACTTCTCAAGTCAATAAAATTGGCATGGATTCAGTAAGAATCCATCTGAATGAAGCTAGTCTTTGTTTCCATTCCAAATGCTAATCACTGGCGTTCCCAAATGTATTTCTTTTTTTACGAAATAACAAATTAAAATACATGTGATTTCCAAACTCTGTTTTAGCAACAGAGCACTCATCAAATACAATTTTGCCCACCCACAACACAAACACTGCAACACAAAAAAGCACAGTTGCTTCAGCATAGGCTGGGATGAAATGGGCAGCCAGAGACCAAGCGCTCCCCCTACTGGCTAGTAATTCCCCAACAGACTGGGCTCTAGAATCTATTTCAAGAGCCACTATAATCAAGTACAGATAAAACAGCACAAACTCTGCTGTGCAACGTAGATAGTAACAGTCCAGAGTGAATTTTTCATTGACAGGGAGCCCTATCATGTGATAACAAATAATGTAAAAATTTAAATTTACCATAAAAAAGGTGCAGGTAATCAGCAGACCACTTAGCTACCTGCTAGTACCAATTTTTAAAAGTCATTTTTAAATTACTTTAAAATAATTTTTTAAAGAGTGAATTTTAAAAGTTCATATTTAAAAGGTGATCCATGAAAAATTAATAAGATAGAGGAAAATATATGGTTCAGAACTACTTTTAGGTACAGTACTATATATTCTTAATAAGACATCACTTAGCCATGCCTAAGTAATACCTAGGATCTCTAAGAAGTGTGACTCCAATTAATTGAAGGGCTTTTGTTTTGCTGAGTGAAGTAAGCAATTTGAGCATCAGAGCTAAATTGTCATGGTCAATAGTGGAAACGCTGTACATTACCAACTGTGGTTTTCCATGTGGTATATAACCTGACCTCTAAATAACAAGCATATATTTATCAGTAACAAACTGAGAGGGTGCAAATTGTTAATCATCTTTGGATGACTGAATGTCTCCATATTGATTCAGTATCAATGCGTACTAAAGAGTGACTTGTTTAAAATTTTGAATTTGCACAAGTCAAGCACCACCTCTACCTACAATTTTGAATGGCATATTACTTTCAAGATGACAGGTAATTTTACCATCTTAACACATTGCGGATTAGTAGTTTTATTGCTAGCTTTACCCAGTGGCCAGATAAGTTTCTATTGAACGAGTACAGAAAAAAAAAAAATTTTACATAAATATTAAAGGCACGCTTTAAAATTAAATACCAATTGCATTTTGAAGTTATTACGTTCTTACAAGCTAATATCTTTTTAAAGTATGATACTTCGTAAAACACTGTGTAACATGAACGAGAATTCTCGTGATCCGTCTGCAATGTGTTAGCTAGAATTTCCATAAAGCAAGAACCATGTCTTTTTCATTTTTGTGTGCTCTACAGAGCCTAGCATCCCACCTTATACATAGTAAAGTGCTACTCACTTAGATAAATTGTTACTGAATTATTGAATTGCTCCCTTCACCAGGCTCTTCAAATTTCACCTAAGAAATAATTCATTAGTTTCACCTTCAAACCCCACCTCTCCTCCATCTAATTCTCTAGCATTTATTTCACTGTTGGGACAGAAATAATCTTGTGTGGTCAGTACTGGAGCAGGTATAGGAGCAGGTGAGCTGAAGATAAGGAACCCTCCCAAAGCCTTTCCCCAAGAAGAAAAAAGCTAGGAAGGTAAGCCAGACTTAGAAAAATAAAAGTCCTTTTCTATTAGATCTGAGAAAAATAAAAGTCCTTTTCTATTAGATCTGAAAAATAATTCTCAGCACTTCTTGATGTCTCTTACTCAAACTTGTTATTGGCACAAAATTATGAATTGGTGCCTGGATCATCTGGTTATAAAAGTGCACATGCAAGGGATTCAGTATGTAAAGAAATATTACTTTTGCAGTTGAAAAAATATTGTGTCTTTGGTTTCTGGTAAGATTGAACTTTCCTCATCAGTTAGCTACTATAGGATTTACTGTCTGTTCAGTCGTTTGCTAATTTAGGCATCAGATTATTACTTTATTAATAACATTCTTTAAAAATTAATATTTCATTTTTCTTGTATTTTCAGTTTGCTTTTAGTTGCTTTTACATGGTCATCTTTGTTAATCAAATTTTTGTCTTTTTTCAATGTTTTTAAGTTTATAAAGTCAGTTGCTTTTACATGGTCATCTTTGTTAATCAATTTTTGTCTTTTTTCAATGTTTTTAAGTTTATAAAGTCTTTTATATTGACATTTGAAAATTATCCATTTTCTTCTATTTTATTAGTTGATTTTTTACATATATTATGCTAATAACATTTTTAAATCACCTTTAACCCCTAAAACTACCCCATTATGTCAGAATAATTTATGAAATAATAATCTCAATTACCATCAATCTAAGATACTAAATTTATCATATATTAAATCAAATGTATAGAAGGGTCTGCTTTGAGGACTATTTTTTTTCCACAATTCCATCTACTCTTTCACCTGTACAATACTGGTTAATTGTATTTTGAGTGTTTTAATATTTGAGAAGGAAAAAGTCCCATCATTATTTTTCCTGAAAAGATTAGTCTCACCTATTCAGCCTTTTGGATATATTTTATGATTAATTTGTTAAGAGTACGCTAAAATAATTAATTTGTTAAGAAGAAATTGATCACTTGGAAGCATTTGACCTCCCATCCCAGAGGAAAATTCCTTTCTCCATTTGTTTACCTTGGGGCAAGTAGAACCACACACCTTTTCTGGAAGTTAGGCCTTCAGATAGTGGCATATAATCGTTGTTAGATATATTTCTACTTTTTCAAGGTAAGAAAAACTCCTCTCAACTAAATATCTGAATAGGGATGTAGTTGGTGATCTTCTGAATTCAAAGTCAGAAAGTAGAGTTTTTATTTCATGATAAGGTCTGAAAACTAAGACACCCCCCAAAAAAACGTTTAATGGAAAATTCCTGGAAGAAAAAAGAGAAATCAAAGTTCAAATTTATAGTTACAATTTCTGTTTACAACCAGATGGTGAGTTTGGGGACTATTTAATAGACCCTCAGCAAACAATTTCTTTAAATGGATATTTTTTAGGCACTGTCTTGGAGAAGTTTGTGTCATGTATGTGTGTGTTTTACTGGATCTGATTCAAAGATAAAAATGAATTTTTGACCATGATAAAGTTTATGCCACCAGGGGTACCAGTGCATTTTTCTAAATTTAACAGCATAGGTAATTGTGTTCCTTATCCATTTTTTAAATATCTTCCCCTCTCCATTTCCAAATTATATCTTTATGACTTCATGTTTCCTTTCTTGAGAGAAAAATACCTCACGTCCTTCATCCCATACTTCTCAGGTTGCCCTATGTAGCCTAAAAACCATGGTCCTAAAGGAGGGCCCAAGATACTATCTACTCAAAGAGAGAATGTGCCAGATACCACACAGATATACAGAACTCCATTTTCTCTTTCTTTTCTCCCAAGAGTTTAAGTGAAAAATAAAAATGCCAGGCACATAGCAATCCTACTCAAGGTATGCACATTGAGTAATTGTCTTCACTAGGCTCAAGCTTTTAGACAAATAACTCATAAGAACATGCTTATTCCTTTTTTATCTTCATGGTACTCTGAGCCAGAAGTACAAAAATAAGAAGGCTCCTACCAGACTTATTCTATTCATTCTATAGTGTGCTTTGCTACTTATTCCTTAATACTTCCATGAAATGGCATTATCTTCTTTCGGTAACTCTAACTTATCTTAATAATGGCCAACCACAATACAGATTCTAAATAATTTATTTTATAAGCTTTGAAAATAGAGAATCAGAGAAATAGTCATAACTGCTGTCCCCTGCACCATGTCTTTAATCCTCAAGTGAGATTGTAATGAAAGGAATCTTGAATCAATACTCTCATCACATGGATTTTTTGTAAAGGTCTATTATATTTGCCTTTCAATGTCCCTTAGGTTTAGAGAAATTGCCTGTAAAGTTATATAGTGATTTGAATATTATAAATTAAGATAACAGAGTATATAAACAAAATTATATATTAATACCCCTGTAAACTCAGAGATCTTAATATTTTTCTGGCCCTATTAATTTAACTCCAAATACTGTGGAAATCAACCCAATAGGTCTATTCAGTGTGGTGACTAGAGGTCGGAGAAATAAAGGAGCTAACCATTAGCTCTGGTTATCAAGAACTAACCATTTCAAACTGCAGTGTTTCAAATATATTATTAAATATTACTTGAAAATAATCACATTTATTTATTAATAATCAGATGCCTCATAAACATAAATATTTCCTATCTAGGACTTCCCCTCACCACAAAATGTAATTCCTGAATGCATCCATAGGTTGTATTCTGTTACCTGCGTTTCCATACACTGACTTCAAGTTTCATAAAAATAATTGTTTTGAAGAACCTGTTGAGTTTCCTGAGGAATTCCTTACATAGCATATTGCTACTTTGCTTTTCATGAAATAAAAGATTTCCTGGTCAAATCTATGCAAACAGCAGATATTTTTAAAAGATTTTTAGTGAAAATTCACCATTTTATTTTTCAGAGATCATATTTGAAATATGGCTGAGAGTGACCTCCTCTACCCAGAGAACCCAAGGAGGCGGGAAGAAGTACACCATCTTCACCAACAGCTCCTTGACTGCTTATCGGACAACTTCCGTGCCACCAATGAGCTGATTGGAGTTTTAAATATGCATTTGGGGTGCAGGCTGGCCTCCATTGAGATGAACAGAAATGGGACCATCAAAGAAAACTGTGATACCATTATCCAAGCCGTGATGAAAATCCAAAAAGAATTGCAAAAGGTTGATGAAGCACTAAAAGATAAACTAGAGCCAACCCTTTATAGAAAACTTCAGGATATTAAGGAAAGGGAAACAGAGAAAATTGCAATCGTACAAAAGGTTATTTCAGTAATCCTGGGAGAAGCCACTTCTGCAGCCAGTGCAGTGGCTGTTAAACTCGTGGGCTCAAATGTCACAACTGGCATAATTAACAAGTTGGTCACTGTGTTAGCTCAAATTGGTGCTTCTCTCCTTGGTAGCATAGGAGTTGCTGTTCTTGGCCTTGGCATAGATATGGTCTTCCGTGCCATCCTAGGAGCAGTGGAGAAAACGCAGCTACAAGCAGCCATCAAAAGTTATGAGAAGCATCTGGTGGAATTCAAGTCAGCCTCAGAAAAATATCATCATGCCATTACTGAGGTCACCAATACAGTGAAACACCAAATGAAATAAACAGCCGCCTTATTTGCCACTGGAATATTTTCTGCTTCTCTTTCAATAATAGTATTTGGTTTCTTGGATTAGCTTCATTTTCCATAAGTTTCCAACATAGACATAAATACCGTAACAGATTGGGAAGATTCCTTGAGTTTTGCATCAGTAACAAATGTCTGGACCAGTTGGTGCTAGACCATGGGAGAGAATCCCAGGATTCTTCTAACTCTCCTCTACTAGCTCAATTTTAGGGTACATGCTAATGTAGAGTAGCAGGTGTAGGGGTTGCCTTTTCCTTTCTAATATCAAGTAAAAATCTTTAAAATGTACATTTAATGCAAAGGTTTTTATTCCTAACACTTCAGACATCATTTAGTTCTAAGAGGACATACTTTGTAATTTCTGCCTGGACACAAATCCTGGCCTTTGAATGTAATAGAAACACTACCATAATTTCAACCATCAGTTTAAATCCAATTTTCTGTAAACTGGAAAAGACTGGAATATGGTTTGTAACTTCTTACTTCTATGATGAAAAGAGTCAATGGTTCTGTAAACTTCTAAATTAAACACTATAATCTGAATGGACTTTTAATGGATAAAAATTTAAAACTAAAAAAAAATAAAGGTTTTGTTTCTATAAGTATAATCAACCCTGATCAACTGTTGTATGATAATTAAATATCCCTCAAGTGAAATGTTTGAACACTCTGGAACTTTTTTTAAAAAAGCAAATCCAAGATACACCTGCATATAATGCATTCAGAGTGCAGGAGAGGAAGTAGCAATTCTTTCAAGAATTTGTCATTCAGCCCTGGCTGGTTTGGCTCAGTGGATAGAGTGTCGGCTTGCAGACTGACAGGTCCCAGGTTTGATCCCATCAAGGGCACATGCCCGGGTTGCAGGCTCAATCCCCAATAAGAGGTGTGCAGGAGGCAGCCCATCAATTATTATTTCTCATCATTGAGCTCTCTCTCTCTCTCTCTCTCTCTCTCTCTCTCCCTTCCTCTCTGAAATCAATAAAAATGTATTTTAAAAGAAAAAGAATTTGTCATTCAAAGGAAAATCCTAATTGATCTTTTGAGTTTTCAGAAAAAAAAATATTTCACTTTCAATGCTAGCAGAATGGAGGAAGTTGCCCCTGCTATGTAAAGCTTTGGGTAGCCCATTTCATTAATTACATTAATTTCAGATATATCCAGAGGCTATGGAGGCCTAATGGTTCAGTTAAATTTCTGCAGATGGAAATGTTTTCTAAATCCTGCACTAACTAATAATTTCCCATTGAGACTCTTAGATTATATTTACAAAATTATTAATAAGCTGTTGATGCAAGAATGTGTTTGTTATAGTTGATTCTTGCATCCAAATTCAAGAAATGTCTTGAAATTTAAAAGCCTCAGCGTATCTCAAAAAGTAAAAGCTAGATGAAATACATTAATTTTTCAAAAATATTCATTTTCTCTTCTATCATTGATTTTTAATATTAGTTCCAAAATATCACAATTTAGTTCACCTTCAATATTAAATATTTTTGTTGTTTATTACCTGGTTTATAAGCTATAAACTACAAGATCATTTTACTGTTCTTTCTGAGACTCAAGTCAGTCTAAAACCAAATCAAGAATTTCCTAAAACGAAGGTTAGTTCAGATAAAGGACCAATCTTAAACAGCTAAGTGCACATTTAAATATTCTACTAAACATTAATATCTCCACAAGTATTTTAGAATATTAATAACGGATTGTCGGAATTGACCTATATCTAACATTTTCCTATAAGGAATATTCAGATTAAGATCCGAAATAAACAAGTGTATTCTTTAAGGGGAGAATTTTTTAAGTATTTAAAATTACCTTTAAGAGGAAATGACAGGAGTCTTAGAGAAAGAGCGGATGGAAGAGAAAGAAAGAACCTTCGACCACTAGAACTAAGGGAATAATCGCCTACGTGTAGTGACATCACACGGGATTGGGGGCTGGTGTCGTAAATTTAAAACTGACAGTACATGTATCCCCATACTTCCCTTCCAAAAAGTAATCCTGTAGACCAGCAATCTGGGACTCCGATAAGGGCACTGATTCATTCGCTCATGTCTACAAACAACTACTGAACTTCCAGACGGACATGACGCTGGCAAAACACAGTAGCAAATATATATATATATTTTTTTTTTCGGGGATTCGTTTCCAAACAGATATTCCTAAAAGATCAACACTAGCTTCGTCATGAAAAGAGAAAAAAAAGAGTCCCAGAACCTATACAACTCCGGGACGCAGAAACACCATCACACACTTCTCAGTGTTGAATCCGCCGGTCTAAAGCAATCAATCAAGCAACCGGAATTAGGTTAGAATACCTCGGGCCCAAGAGGCAGGGCCGTCTTCACACCAGCCAATCATATCCGAGCTGGCTCGATTTCTTATTCCTATTGGCCTACAGAAGTGTCGATCAACTTGGCGTCTTTGTACTGCGTAACTTAGGGCGGGCTCTAAGCAGATAACCAACAAATTGGGTTCTGTCTTGGAGCGGAAGCGACTCCAGCCGTGGAGTCCTTGGTTACGCGCTACATTTCCAGGGCCGAGAAACGCTGAGATCTCAGGCCCACGGGGAGAGGAAGTGACGTAGGGACGGTGGCGGGGCGCGAGGTTTCAAGATGGCGGTTGCTGGATAGCTGACCGGGAGCCGCGGTGAAGGCCCCTACGAAGGGAAAGAGGCCGAGAATCCTCCCCTCCCGGCTTCTCTCAGTCCCAGAGCCCAGCAGAAGTGTGAGTGTGCGGGATCGTCCCCATCGGGTTTTTCATCTCGCCCGTCTCTTCCAGGGGCCCGTGCGGTCGCCGCGGGGACGGTAGGCCCCTTGGCCCCGCTCTTCCTCTCCGCGGTTGGGGTCTGCTGGGTCACGGACTGACGGGATCCCCGAGCCTGGGGCGGAGCGGCGGACTTCGCCCGGGTGGGTTAGCGCCGCCTCCGGTCTGTCCACGGTGATCGGTAGGTGGCCTTGGGCTTGGTGTCTGCACCTCGAGTCGGGGTCAACCGTCGCTATGGTTGCGGCAGTTGCCGCCGTGGTGACGGCTGGCGGGAGTGGGCTCCTTCCCCGGGAGCCGCTTTGCCTGGTTAGCGGTCCCTCGTGGCTTTGTGGCCCGGTTTCCCCGTCGCCTGTGCTTTAAGACGAAACAGTCGTGTGCGCAGACCGAAGCTCCGCTGCCTTCAGTAAAAATGACTGTAAATAGCCTTCTGGTTCCGCAGGAGCCCGGGGAGGCCTGAGGGAGGAAAGCCACGCAGGTGCGGCCGTCCGCGGTGGGAGAGCGGGTGCTGATGCCCGCTCTGCTGGCTTCCGCGGCCCCGGGTCGGAGGAGGAACCCCTTCACCGGGTAAATTCGGTGCCGCCGGGGCGTTTTGCAACCTTTGGCAGAAGTCGGGGCAATTGAACACTTGCTGAAAGAGGCACTGACTGGTCATACCTGATAAAATCTTTATAAAGAAGGAAAGGTGTCATTGTAAGGTCTACTAAAATCTCTACCTCTGGCCTGTAACGTTCCCCGTAAAAGGTTTATGGTTTTGCTACGCGAGCCCTGGCCATTGTGTGTGTGTATATATATGTGCTTCTAGGTTAACACTTTTAAAATGCTTTTTCAGGCCCCTCGGAAGCTTAAGGACCTTCGAGGGGCCACATTATCGTATTAACTATCCTGAAACCCAATCATAGGTATTTTCCTCGTCCCACCCCCTTTGCTTTCTCCCCCCTCAAATGTCCTGGTGCTCACATTCCCTCCTTAATTCCAAAGGTATAAAAGGGACTGCAAAACTGTCATTACATGGGGGGAAAAAAGGAGACATGTGTAATACTCTTTGTAATACTTTAAGCAATAAAACAAAATTTAAAAAAAAATTGTTATGAGAAGAAAAAAAAAAACTGTCATTACCCAGAGCAATGTTGAGATCTCGCTGCCCGGCAGGCAGGTCATCAGTTTGGCTCAGATAAGCTTCAATATGCTCTTGTACAACTTTTCTACAGGTTTGGACATTCTTATGTTGATCCTGGTAGCTTTGGTGGTGTTTTTTTTTAATAAACAAGTGAACCATACAGATTGTCAACATGGGACGAAGATCCACATCATCCACCAAGAGTGGAAAATTTATGAACCCCACAGACCAAGCCCGTAAGTATCCATTAATGAGGATGCTGAAGAAGAGAAGCGGTAGAAATTGTAAGCGTTAGGGAATCTATTTCATGATGTCCTAATTACAAGATCAGCAGTGCTAGGAGTCAGTTGGGTGAAGTTATCCAGTGTTCTGTGGGCACATGATTAACACTTCAAGCATACAAAAGAAATTCACACCCCTATTTCTAATTTGATTGAATTGCACAGTAAAATTAGCTTAAAGCAGTGGTTCTCAGCCTTCCTAATGCCGCGACCCTTTAATACAGTTCCTCATGTTGTGGTGACCCCCAACCATAAAATTATTTCCATTGCTACTTCATAACTGTAATTTTGCTACTGTTATGAATCGTAATGTAAATATCCGATATGCAGGATGTATTTAGGCGACCCCTATGAAAGGGTCATTCAACCCCCAAAGGGGTTGCGACCCACAGGTTGAGAACCGCTGGCTTAAAGCTTTTTGTATTTAGAATTTTGAACAAATTAGTTTTGCAGGTTCTTTAATATTTCATGGAATCTTTTTTCTTTGTGTTCCTAATTCTTAAGAAAACAAAAATAATGTTGATATTTTTAGTTGGCAAAATTAGAAGGGTGCTAGTAGCATTCAGTAGGTAGAAGCCAGTGATGCTGCTAAAGAATCCACAGTGTACATGACAGCCACACACAATATGAATTATCTGTGTTGAGAAAATGCTATAATAATGGTCACGATTTGAAAGGTCTGTATTCTCTCTTTCTCTTTCTCAAGGAAAAGAAGCTCGGAAAAGAGAATTAAAGAAGGTATGATTTCAGATGATCAAATTTGTCACATCTTACATTTGGGATTGGTGGATTTTAATATGACATTTTTAATTATTTGCCAGAAAATATACTTTATACTTCTTATAATAAGCCATAAAATTTACTAATCCGAAATAACATATAAATGCTCCTTGACTTAAGATGAGGTTACTGTTATGTCCTGATAAATCCATCATAAATTGAAAATATCTTAAGTAAAAATGCTTTTAATAGCTTAGCCTACCTTACCTTAAACATGCTCAGAACACTTACATTAGTCTACAGTTGGGCAAAATCATCTTGCTGCTGCCCAGCATCATGAGAGAGTATCATACTGCATACGGCTAGCCCAGGAAGGGATCTAAATTTGAAGTACAGTTTCTACTGAATGCATATGACTTTGGCACCATGGTAAAGTCATACCATGGGAAGTCAAGGGCCATCTGTACTTGGAAACTGAAGTAAGTAACCTTGCAGGTAGCTCACAAGGTGTCACATTGTTTACTTATTACCTTTCCCAGTGAGCTAAAGAAATACTTTTGAAAGTAACTTTTTTGTTAGTTATTATAATATACTAGTTTGTTAACAGCTACTGAACTAGTGAATGAAAATAAATGTGATGCTGAATTGTTCATTTTCCTGGTTTTGTAGATGATGAGTTTGTGATTTGTAGATGATGAGTTTGTGCTTCCCAGAATAAGGAAGGGTTTACTTATTAGTATCCTGCCTTAGCATGTTGAGAAAATGTTAAGATTTTAATTCGTTTCAATTGTGTATTCTTGTTGCATTGTTTAGCATTAAAATTCTGCAAAACTTTACTGGTATATAATTTTAGAATGTAGCTGAAACCTTTGTTTATTAAATTAAAAAACTAAAATATTTTAAGTGACTGCTTTAGGTCTCACA